GGCGCCGACACACTACAGCGACCCTCCCATCACCACCACCACCTCCACCTCCCCCCAACCCCTCCTCCCCCAGCTCCAGGACTCCCCAAAATCCACCATCCCGCGGATTCATCCGCTCCCTGCTGTGTATAGACTGGAAGATATTTATATTATATATATTTTTGTTCGATGGTTGTTAATAGTAGATGTTTAAGTTATAGCTTTTCTGATCTGATGAGCAACGTACTGTAAATATTCTCGGAGTATATTCACACTGTATAATGTACACAAAAGACAAAAAAAGGTACAGAAGCAGAGGTGTAGATTCTATAGAGACTGAGAGGAAGCTTGTACATGGTCAGGATGACTTTTGTATAGTTATTACCTGCACTGTAGTTGTATCTATTGCACTGAGTTCCAGGCTGTAGTATATTAAAAAAAAAAACCTGTCAGAAATACTGTGCTTTTCAAACAAAACTGACAAAAAAAGGCAAAAAAAAAAGGCAAAAAAACCCCCCACCTCTCCCTTCTCCCTGCGTGCAGCTGGTGTGGGAACGACTTAGGCACATTCCCAAAGCCCCAGGCAGTTGTTTTCTAAATAGTTTTTTTTTATTTATTTGTCTGGTTTTGGAAGTGATTACACTTGACCACATGTGAAAGAAAATAAAGGTTTGGGGAGAGGAGGGGAGGGGGGGGAAATAAAGTTAGAAAGTACAGAACTCCCCTGTGCTGAAGTCATGGTGGCTCTGCACCCGTGGAGCACCCACGTGTGGTGGGTTGTTTTTTTTTTTGTTGTTTTTTTAAACAAATACATCAAAATTAAGTGCCAAGAGGAAGGTGTGTGGTGTGTGGACAATAAACGAGGATGGATGCAGTGACCCAGCCCGCCGCCTCCTGTGCCTTCATTTCACCTTGGCTGGGCTCTCCCCGTCCCTTCCACCCACGGTTCTCCTCCCCCTCTTGGATTTGGGGTTTGCTGGGCTGGGAGCAGCCTCGGGAACCCCTGGTTGGACGTGTGAGCTGCTCTGTCCCCTCGGTGGACCCCAAAATTGACCCCCGGGGGGTTGTGACCATCGATGATCTGCTCCGGGCTGGAGCTTTCGCCACCAGAGCCAGGGAGGGAGGTGGCTGCTGCTGCTGCTTCTCGGCGGACTTTTCTTTCCCCTTGAACTGACAAGGTGCCAAGAGCTGCAAGTCTGAACACTGTCAGGCAAAGAAATGCTGATCTTGGTCACTTCAGGCTTTTTTTTTTCCTTCTATTTATTGGCTTTGCCCTGAAGTGCACATGCTGGCAACGGCCGTTGCAGCGTGTCGTAGGAAACGGCCCTTGTCACATCTCCCAGAGCTCCCCAAAACGTTCTGTGTTTGCCCAGGGCTCTTCTCCTGCTCTCCTTTCCCACTCCTTGCTCGTGGCTGCTCCCGGAGCTGCTCGGCCCTGTGCAAAGTTAATTTTCACTCTGTCTCTCCCCAGCCAGGAGCGGTGAGACGGAGCTTCGGGCTCGGCCAGGCTCCAGAGCATCCCCAGGGATTACCACCCCAGCTCCAAATCCCCGGCCACTGTGACCCCAATCCGAGGTGCCCCGAGGCACCATCCCCCCGTTCCAGCCCTGGGGAGACCAGATGAGGGTGGACACGTCCACCTGCATCTCCCATAGGCAGATTCTGAGGTTCCCCCACCCCGAGCAGTGCTGTCCCACCCGGTGGGCTGGAACGCCGGCTGCCGTGGAGGGGTCTCCTTCCCCAGCAGCATCCATCCCTTCTGATCACTCAGGTCCCAGCTTGACGAGGCGTTTGAAGATCCTGCTTGACTCCCATCCCAACTCAGTGAGGCAATTAAACGCGCTCGTAAATCCTCCTGGAGTAAATGAGACTTAATCGCAGGCTTAGAGCTCGGCTGGATCCAGCCCTCGGCAGCAGGACGAGTTTCCCTTCCCTGTTCCCAGCCCCAGGAGCCCGTCACATGCTCCCCTCCAGCCCTTCTCAGGTCTCCCTTCACCTCCACGCCGAGGGTCACCTCGGGTACCCCCAGCCCTGCTTCTGCCCATCCTCTCTGGGCTCCCCAGGGCAGGAGCCCGTGAGCTGGGCTCAGTGGAGCACTTGCCATGGTGGCCCAGGGGATTTCCTCCTCTCCAGGCTGGCGCTGGAGCTTGTGGCTGTGAGGAATCCACGTCTCCTATGGGGTGGAAGCTCTGACTGGAGCTCGTTGGCCTCCTCATCCTTTCCCTCAAGCCTGCTTCTAGTCCCTCACGCTGTTCTCGTGGTCCCACCCGGATGCAAGTTCTGCCCCAAGTGGAACAAATGAGTCCCTTGGTGCTACAAAGAGCTTTGCAGAGAGAACAGAGAGCTAGAAGAGAGAACAGAGGAGGTGCAGGAGCACTGCAGAGAGGTGCCACCCCTGCCCAAGCCCAGCCAGGTCCTGGGCTAGCAGGTGACAACCACCCACGTGAGGTGTGCAGGGCAGACCTTCCCCGTGTCCCTCCCGAATCCCTCCCTGGCATCTCCCTCATCAAACTGAGAAGCAAGTGGAGGAAACCTGTAACAAACACTCCTCAGCTGGTCTCAGCTCCTGGAGGGACAATGCAAGGACGTAAGAGGCTGTTTGCTTAGTCATCAATCACTAGATAACGACTTATGCCTGGTGTGCTGGCTGTGCCTTTGTTTCCCACCCTCACAGTGTCATTCCACGACGGGCCACAGGGGTTGAGCAGCACGTGAAAACGAACTGATACCAAAATGTTTAATTTTCAAACACCTAGAGGCAGAATGGGGCACATCTGAGAGGTGGCAGCAGCAGAAAGGACCCGTGGCTGGTAAGGCTTCTTGTTTCCAGCACCCCAGTGAAGCAGAGAGCCCAGTTCAACAGGAAAGCAGCAGATAAAAAGAAGGGAGAGCTCTTTATTTTGTGCAGGAAAGCTTGGAGTTAATCAACTTCAACAAACGACCGATGGCTTCTCCAGACTCCTGTTGGGGCAGTTGTTTCACCAGGTCCAAGGCTTTCACCCCCACCTCACGAGCCTGGAACAGAACAGAGGAGACACAACAACCCTCAGGGGTTTCCTTCTCCTGGAGGGGCAGTCGGAGCACCCGCGGGCTGTGCTGGAGCAGATCCAGGCTCTGGGTGCTCAGCTGCCTGCTCCAGAGGGTGACCTGGACAAGCTGCTTTGCAGGAGAGAGTAAAGCTGCCAGCAGATACCATACTGAGGATCCAGTGGTGCAGACAAGAGGAGATTACTGACCCCAGCCCCCCCATACCCTGGAGAATGTCACCTCCTGCCTCATCCAGCAGCCCGGCTGAACATTCCCAAAGCTATTTCAGGAAAAAAAAAATACCCAGCTGTATTGACTCTGAACTAAATCCCTCATTTCCTTGGTAGCTCTTGCAGGGACTGGACATTCTCACAATTAGAAAGCTTTGCTTTTGCTTTTTCTAATTGGAATTTAACACTTTGTATTTTCCAACCACTGACTCACATCATTAAGGTTTTCTCTGATACAATGAAGAGACCATCAGTCATCTGTAACCCACCGAGCCAGTGGCAGAAGAAACTCTGGATTTTGAGTGCTAGGCCTAAACAAAGAGTCCTGATTTCCAGGTGATTAGTGCTCCTCATTTCCTCAAAATCAATGATTTTTTTAACAGAAAGAATTTGGCACTCCGATGTTAGCAGCTGCATCTGAGATTTTGAGCCATAAACTCTCAAATATGAGGCAGGGAAATTCAAAATTGGGCTAGAGAGTCCAACTGAGGGAACTTCCATTATCACCACGGTAGTGACAGGGAGTCTGGCTCACAGAGACACACATGCCAGACCCACGTCTTGCTCGCTGCATAACATCTGGCCTGATGTTCAAGTGCAGCTTGTGAAAGGCACCTACCCTGCCAGGGCATAGCAGGTAAAGGATGAACCCAGAAAACGTGGCTGAGAAGAGACCTTTGGCCTCTAAGAAGAGACCAAACCAGATCCAGGGGTATTTATGAACCTCCACAGTGTAGATCACGGGCTGGTTTCACCGAGGCAGATTCATCCTCAGCCACCCAACACTGTGGTGGGCTCAGGAGAGGTGCCAGCTGAACAGAGGCAGCTGCAATGGGGTGAAACAGAGCGAGCCCACCCTCCTGGATCCTTCCAGAGGAACCTTACCTTGGGTAAATCCCTGATGAGGTAATAGAGCATGGCAAGAGCGTGCAGAACCCTGGCAGTCTCCCCAGGCTCTTGCTTCGGTGCCTGCTCTCGGATATCCAACACCGTGGTCAGTGCCTGGATTCCTTCTGCTTGCTGGGCTTCAGCTGCAGGGAGGATGAAAGAGCCTCGTGGGCTGGCTGGCTGGGTGCAGGATAATGTATTCCACACTGCCCCACTATCTCCTGCAGACATCAAAGCGTTCCTACCCCAAGCATCCCTGTGGTATCCCAGCTCCGTGCAAATTCCACCCCCATGACCAGGTATCTTTTCAGCCCATCAGGCAGGGTGCTGATCAGCCTCTGGGGAGGATGTGGAGTCACAGCAGCTGCATGAAAGGAGCAGATTTGGTCCTCCTGTCACAGCCAGAGATGGGGTCACCTAGCCCTGTCCTGGGGTGGTTCCTACTGCAGCAGGAACTGATGGAGACAGCACCAGGAGATGGGCTTCACCAAAATGTTCCTAAAGGATTCTATGATTCTATGTTCCTAATGCCTCATGCACCTTGATGTCCCAGTGAGAGACTCTCCAGCTTCTCTCCTGAGAGTATTCTCCAGATTAATACCCCCAATTAGCAGCACAGGCTATTCCATCGTGTCCTTACTGCTCCAGAGGACAGAGCTGCAAACCTGCCCAAGTGAGATGAAATGGCTCTTTCACATCATTGAATGGAGACAAAGGAGCCACAGAGGGGCTGGAGTGTGGCCAGAGAAGGGCAACAAAGCTGGGGAAGGGGAAGGGTCTGGTGAGGAGCAGCTGAGGGAGCTGGGGGTGCTGAGCCTGGAGCAAAGGAGGCTCAGGGGAGACCTTCTGGCTCTGCACAGCTCCTGACAGGAGCCTGGAGCCAGGGGGGGGTCGGGCTCTTCTCCAAGGAACAAGCAACAGGACAAGAGGAAACAGCCTCAAGCTGTCCCAGGGGAGGCTGAGGTTGGCCCTGAGGAACAATTTCTTCCCCTTGAGTGTTGCCCAGGGCTGTGCCAGGCTGCCCAGGGCAGTGGTGGAGTCCCCACCCCTGGAGGGGTTTCCAAGCTGTGGAGATGTGGTGTGAGGGACAGGGGTCAGTGGGGACCTGGCAGGGCTGGGTTAAGGGTTGGACTGGATGATCTTAAAGGTTTCTTCCACCCAGAATGATTCGGTGACTCAACGAAATGATAACGCTGAAGTGGAGGCAAACTCTGGTATTGTTAAAGTCCCTGCTGAGGAGGTGGTGAAAAGGAGCACGTGAAACAAAAAGGGCAAAGCTGTGGTTCCACCTGAACGCCCTCCCTGCTGGAGCCACCTCCCTTCTTCCATCCAGCCGAGGAGCCACCTCTGAAGCGCTGCGAGTCCCGCTCAGGCGGGTCAATGGAAACACCACACAAACCTGGACGTGACCCCTATGGCCACCCATCCATGTCCCTGGATACAGCCAGATTCCCTCAAACCCCCTCTCCCCAGGGCTCTGCTCTTACACATCCGCTCCGGGCCAGCTTCCTGCTCCTGGCCGAGCGGAGACGTTTCCGGTCCTGGCTGGAGAATCTGCTCCTGTGCGTGCAGTGACCTCAGGAGAAAGGCATGCCAGATGCTGGTTACCTATCAGGAAGCAAATGAATTATTTTGCTGCTATGAATACGTGGTGTTGAGCAACCCGTCCCTCTCCAAACAATGCGTCCTGCGCCCCGCGTCCCTCCCGCAACCACCGCCTGCCGCTGGGGCTGCTGCCAGTTGGGGGCTTCCCACGGGGGTCCCACCACTCTCCTCCCCCTGGCAGCCTCAGTTGGGAGCTCAGCTCTTCCTCTGGCTGATCATTTTCCTCAGGCTTGAAGAGAATGGGCAAGGGGAAGCGAAGTGGGTTGGAGTTTGTGAGGAGCGGAGGGAGGTTGCACAGAAATCCCAGAGTGGTTGGGGTGGGAAGGGACCTCTAAAGGTCACCCAGTCCAAACCCTCCCCACAGGGAGCAGGGACATCTGCAGCTAGAGCAGGGTGCTCAGAGCCCCGGCCAACCTCCCCTGGAATGGTTCCAGGGATGGGGCAGCGACCACCTCTCTGGGCAAGCTGGGCCAGGGGCACCCTCAGTGTCAACATTTCTCCCTTCTCTCTAGTCTGAATCTCCCTCTCTTAGTTTAAACCCATCCTCCCTTCTCCTGTTCCAACAGGCCCTGCTCAAGTCTGCCCCCATGTTTCTGACAGCCCCCCTGAAGTGCAGAAAGGCTGCAGTAAGGTCTCCTAAGCCACAGTGGGGGCTCCCCTTAGAGTGAGGATATGTGGAAATATGGACCTGCTTTCTCCCTTCTCTCTAGTCTGAAGTCCCTCTCTTAGTTTAAACCCATCCTCCCTTCTCCTGTCCCAACAGCCCCTGCTCAAAAGTCTGTCCCAGCTTTCTGACAGTCCCCTTGAAGTCCTGAAAGGCCACCAGAAGGTCTCCCTGGAGCCTTCTCCTCTCCAGGCTGGACAACCCCATCTCTCTCAGCCTGGCTTCCCAGTTCCAGCCCCTGGATCATTTTTGTGGCCCTAAAAAAATCAAGCTAAACAAATGAAACCTCTTTTTTTTCCCCAGACATTAGAGCTATTAGGTAATTGTTACTCCTTTTGCTTGGTCACTTTGTTCTGACAATCTTTTATCAGGGTCACTTTTCATTGATTCTCAGTGTAAATTTTACATGCTTTGTTTGTATCCCAGCAACTCCTCCCTGGCCATGGAAACCCCTTGGAGACCCTCTCCACTTGTGGGACTCTCTTTAACCTCTGGCACAGGGTATTTGGGAGCAAAGTGTTTTTTTAACAACGTTGGGCTGCCCAAATTGAAGACAACTTGAATGACAATTTTTAAGCGAGTCCAGAATTGATCTCTCGTGGCTTTAACTCAGAGAAATAGTGAAGTATGAAAAGGGTTCCTGAGATTGATCCTAAAAGGCAACACTGGCACTTCATATGGTTGCCAACATATTAAAGGCAGCCAGGAATAGGGAAAACTTTGGAAAAAAGAGGATTATACAGAGGATGACCTTTGGTTTTACCAACCTCAGCATAGAGCGAGTTCGCTACGTCCATTTTGTTCTGGCGAAAGAAAACATTAGCCATGTGGAAATACCCTCCAGAGGTCTCAATAGCCTTCAATCCAAAGGTGGAGCTCGCAAGATAAATCTGAAATCAGCAGGGAAATAAAAGATAAGAGCAGAAATTTAATGTTGAAGGCAAAGCTGGGGAAAGTTTTCCTGATGGGTTAGTGAGCGGTGCCCGGTTCTCCCCCCGAAGCCCCAGTGGGGGAGTGGGGAGGCACTGGTGCATTCCAGCTATTCTGAGCTGGCGTGTGACTCTCAGCAGATCTCAGACACGCAGCCAAAGTTCAGGCAGGTCTTAGGCTGCTCTGAGTTGTTAATTAGTCAAAATCTATTACCTGTTGCTTTTTCAGGCGCCAGGTACCTAGAAAGCTCCACGGCCCAGCAGGGAATCATCTAAAAGGTGTATAGACTCAGCAAAGACACTGTTGAACATATTATAACCAAAAGGTTCTCATTCTCAACCCTGTGTCATCATTTAACACCCACACAAAGCTACTATCAAATTCAACAGTGGTGGGGATACATCACTCTGCACGGGATAAATTTAGCCTCCAGGAGCCATAAATAGGATGCCGTGGAGTTCATCTGCCTTTGGGGGATCAAGTGACAGGCAAAGCATCCTCAGGGACACAGCTGGCAACGGCCACTTTGCATGGGACAAGCTGCTCTTGGGGCTAAAAACAGCAAATTGGGGAAAATGCTGGCAAGCAGATATTTAAATAGTTAAACGAGGTGTTCGTTAAGCAATGGCTGATGGGGAACTGCTGCCTGACAGAAGGATATTGAGGAAAACGACAGCCAAAAATATAGAAGTGATTTATCTGTTGAATAAAAGGCAGCTACACCAGTTTGGGGTAGCAGTGTCTGTTCAGCTCAGGACTGTAACAAAGCTGAGAGAGAAGTTTTTAAGCAGATGAAGCACAAAGAAGGAACGTGTCAGGACAACGGAGTGAGGATAACTGGTACAACTCAGATCTGGCAACACGTGGATACAGAGGTGGCTCAGATTAGAGAGTTCAGGTGGTTTGTGACCTGTAGCCTAAAATCAGGATTACAGAACTGTCTGCTGGGGTTTTCTTATCCACCTGGAAGTCGTAGAGAAGGAAGAAAAAGGGAAGTGTGTCTGTATTTGACTTGGCTCACGTTGTTTGCCAGGTGATATAAAGCCTGCTCAGAGTTTCCTTTGGCGACACACAAAAGCCCCAGACCCTGATGTAACTGAGCCTGAAGAGCAGTGCTGCAGTCTGGAGTGCTGAGGACAATCCACTGGGCTTGGGAGAGGAACGTGGATGCCTGTGGGAGATCACCAGCCCCTGCAACAACATGGAGCAATAAGCAGGATAAGGAGAATTTTTCAATGTAGGACTTTAGACAACGTTGCCTGCTCTCCCTCTGCTGGAGCTTGAGATGGAGCCCTGCTCTGTGGATCCCCCACCTCTCCCGTCGAGCAGAATGGAATTCACAGGCAGGCTGAGTGTCTGGGGCTCCAAGAGAAGCCCTGGGTAGCTCTGAAACACGAGTTCAGAACAGGTTAGCTACGGGCAGCCACTGATGACTCAGGTATTATCACACCAGACTTACTCATGGGATTTTTTCCCCCCCCCCTCCCCTTCTCTCACCACACCGTTTACAACAATCGTTGAGACAGCTCAGCCCTGGCAGCAGAGAGCTGTGTGTGCCCCTGTAAGGGGAGTGCTCTGCTGGGATTTCTCAGTGGCTGAGGAGAAAGGTGCTCCAGAGGCAGAGCCCAAAGTTGGTGTTTCTTCTTCCAAAGCAAAGAGAAAAGGCTCAGCAGCAGACTGAGCAGGTTTTGTGAATGAACTGGGGCATTCCTCTGATGCAACGGCCTCTGAAAGGTTTGCTGGTTCCTCCAGATAAAAGCTCAACCAACCACCCCGGGGAATTTAATGCTTTTGAGAGTCAGAGAAGCCACAAAGGTAGAGAATAGATTTTCACACTGCTTCTCTTGTGGGCATCGGTAGAGAGGGAGAAAATATTTCCTTTGCTTTCATTGATCTCTCCTCACCCATGAATGATTCCTCCTCCCCAGACCCACACAGAAAAGGGGGGGTGCGTGTTCATGTGCCACTTCTCAAATCTCTCTGGAATGCCCTTGAGGGAGGGCAGGGTAAAGACGTGGCAGAGCTGGTCCTTCCCTGATAAATGGTGAAAGGAAACCAGAAACCCGACCCCAGGGAGGTCTTGCCCTTGCCAACGTTACTATTTAGACAATACTTACCAGTGGAGGCCTGGGCCAGGAGGAGATAAGCAGGCACCAGCTGCAGGGAACCAGGGCCGTACACTTGGGTGCTGAAGCGCAGGGCTTGCAGAGCTGCAGGAACGGCTTCTCTGTGCTTCCCACCCAAAACAAACTCCTGGGCTGCTCTGTAGGCGAGATCCAGGACGTGTTTCTGTCGGGAGACAGTCACGGGGCAGGGTGAGCAAAGGGGAGGGAGAAGCAAAACTCCCCGTCTCTTTTCACACTCCCGGCTGCTAAGCGTAAAGCCAGCGACTGTAGCGTGGTGCCTGTAATTAATGGATGGAAATTAAGGCTGTCACATTAAAGCCTGGCTTTCGTTCCTCCTTCAAGAGCAGCTTTGGCCATCCTCTCAGGTCAGGTGGTGTCTTAGGAGATGAAGAATCCTTCATGGCTACAAAACCAAAAGGGCTGTGGAAGAGAAGCTGTGAAGCACAGAAAATGCTGATCCCCAGACCCGAGGGGAGCTCAGACCAAGGGGCCTCTGGGGAGCCGTGCCCACGGTGTGAGGGGGACTCAGAGGGGGCAGGGGAGCACGGTGTGCCCAGCCACTGCCAGCAGGGCACAGCTCCAGCTGCAGCAGATGGGCAGAGAGCTCCTGGCGTGGGGCTGCAGCTGCCTCCCACCCTCTCCTGCCCAGGTATTTTGGGTGCTGAGGCTGGAAAGCAGGTCGAAAGGAGAGCACCCTAAAGCACGTTCTGCTCCAGGGTCCCCACCACCCCAGCTGCCTTCGGTGGTCCCGGAGCTTCTGCGGCGTTTCCGCTGCTGCCAGAATCCCTCTTTTCCTTACATAGAGTGGCTGCTCCTGGCAGTTCCCAGCTCTGTTGGGCTTTTCACCCTTTTGAAGCATCTGACCTACTCGCCAGCTCCATAAACGTCTCTCCCTTTGAATGCTTGTGCTCTGCCAAGAGCTCTACAGCAACTGTGCCCTCGCGACGTGCCGCGGATGCCAGCGGGGAAGAGCCAGGGTGTTTATTTATCTCTTTCTCTTGGCTTCCAGCATCCTTGTTGCCAGCTCCCAACACTCCTGCGTTGGCTTTTCTCACAAGTGGTGCAGTGGGAAAGCTGCCTGGAAAGAAATCTTGTTGCTGGTGTGCCTGGCAGTGCTGCCACGGTAAGCCAGCCCTGCTCTTGCTAGGAGGCACGGGCAGGCCTGTGCAGTGAGCACCACCAGAAGATTCTGTTTCACCTCTTTGTTGCCTCCTGCTTTCCATCTGTGGCTGAGCAGAGAGCAGAAAAATGAAATCCCAATGCTTTTGAAGGTCAGGCTTTGGCATTTTGCTGAGCTTTAAGTGGTTAGAGAGAGGCATGCCATATGGGTGAAGGAACAGCTCAGGGACAGGGAGCATCAAGGACAGCCTGTGAGTGTTGCATGGAGATCCTGGCTGAGCTAAAGGGACAGCACAGAACCCCAGCATGGTGGGGGCTGGCCGGGACCTCTGGAGATCTCATCCAACCCCCTGCTCCAGCAGCTCGCCCACAGCAGGGTGCCCAGGGTCACAGCCAGGCAGGTTTGGGATCTCTCCAGAGCAGGAGACTCCACAGCCTCTCTGGGCAGCTGCTCCAGGCTCTGCACCCTCCCACCCAAGAAGTTTCTCCTCCTGCTCAGGTGGCACCGCCTGGGTTCCAGTTGGTGCCCGTTGCCCCTTGGCCTGTCCCTGGGCACCACTGACCAGAGTCTGGCCCCAGCCTCTTGCCCCCCGGGGCCCTTTAGCTCTTGCTCAGCACTGATCAGATCCCCTCTGAGGCTTCTCTGCTCCAGCTCAGCAGCCCCAGGGCTCTCAGCCTGTCCTGGCACAGAGATGCTCCAGGACCCTCAGCAGCTTCACAGCCTCTACTGGACTCTCTCCAGCAGCTCCTTGTCTCTCTTGAACTGGGGATCCCTTCTCTGCAGAGTTAATAAGCTCCAAAAACACACCCCAGAGTGACAGCACCCTGCTGCAGCACAGAGAGCCAAGAGCTGCTCACCCTCTCTCCAGTCCCTGAGCTATCAGCATATGGAGAATGACAAAGGCACCAAACCAAGCTGTGCTGGGGGAGCATGTGGTGCCCAGGAGAAAGTCAGCACACGCTTGGGGCAAGGAGCAATAAAGGCTGTTCTTTATCAGGCCACCTTCTCTGTCCAGGCCATGCTTTCTCTGTTGCAGCCAGCACTGGCTTTGGGGTGTGAGTACCAAGCAGATTGTCATCTGGGGAGGTGCTGGAGATCAGCATCCTTCTCTTTTGACTCCTTGTCAATAAGATCATCACTGCTTCCCCTGATGTAAGCTATCTTCAAACATCTGCAGCCAGGACAAGAGAAGGGTTAGGCTCTTGCAGAGCTCCCAGGAGGAGAAGAAAGGGCAGGAGGCAACAGAAGCCCTGCAGCACTGAATATTTAAGACTGAGGAGTTCCAAGCCTTGGGGGGATCGTTAGCCTTGGCCCCACACTGGTTTGCAGCTCTGCTGTAGCCCCACGCCCCCAGCCCTGCACGCTTTGGGCTCTTTTCATGTGTGCTGCAATTACAGTGGTTTCTCTGAAGATGCCCCCACGCAGTTGGCATCTGGGGAGGCCAAGGACCCCCAGCTCTGCCCCACAAGTGGAAGCAGAGGGTTGGGAACACACTCGGGGTGGAGTGCTGTGTTCCTCGACTCACTCACAGGCCCCCAAAGTGCTGGAAGGAATGTTTCAAGAGTTAAACCTCCAGTTTAAAGAGGAAGGAACGTCCAGGGGCTGCAGTGAGTGAGCTGAGCTCACGCAGGCAGGTGAGGCTCTTCTCCCAACAGAAACTTGGAGGTTTGTCAGTTTGGAGGTGCTGTCTGCAGGCAACCCCCCGGCTATGTTGACAAAAGCAGATTTCTATCAACAAAGCTTTGGAGTGCAGACAAGGTCTGAAACTCATAACCTCCTGGCTCCCGGCTCCTTCCCTTCAGCCAGAGGGCATTTGGATGTGCACAAGCTTCCCTGTGTCCTGACTGAGGCTGGAGCTCTGTGTTTTCTAAACAAACACCTGAAGTACAGCACAAACGTTCCAAAAAAATCATAAACCTATGGGGCAGGCTTTGAGCAGAAGGTTCTCTGAGACTACACAGCTCCAGAAGCCCTTTTTAAAAGCATTTTTGTTGGCTCTCCAAAGAGGAATGTGATGAAGGCACCAAGATGGGGCATTAAATAATCTCACCCTCTCCATATCAGTCTTCCAATGTTCATCAGCCAGCCCAGGCCCAGCTCTGCCCACCCTACGCCCTGCTGCACATCTGACCTGGTTTGGGGTAACATCTGGGGGTTAGCAGCTGCAGCCTGGCTGCAAACACAGGCAAGTAACCCACGAGGCACCTCTGGTTCTTCACTCCTTTCCTAGGAAAGAAGGAAGGCACAGTGTCCCTGCACATACTGTTCCCACAATCTATTTTATTTAAACAGCGTGGAGACAAAGGTCAAAGAACAAAAGTAACTGGGTGGTTAAAGATCCTATAAAAAATCTCAACTTCAAAATAAAATTGGAGTTTGCTCTCTGTGACTTTTCCCATGAAGTCCTTCTGGGCCTTGGCTGGAGCTGCAGGTAACCTGGTAACCTGGGTGTGCACTCAAGGAGTGACTCTCCCTCCACCAGCCCCATCCTCCTGCTGTCATCCCCACCACCTAATGAAAACAAAGGATTGGCTTCCAGCTAATCCAGGAGTGCTTCCTCCCTCTGGTGCTCCTGTGTAACTTAGAGAGTGTCCTTTGAGTGGTTATAAATTCCATGATGCAATAACAGATGCTTTTAACATCAGTGTTCAACAGGTAGGTGAAGTTTCTTGGAAAAGCTTTAAGCAGTTAAGGATAAAAAAACAAACAACAAACCCTATGCATGATAAGACCAATTTTAACTTTTTTTT